CCTGAAACGGTCACTGAAACCCATATATTGAATGTAAAGCATGTCCTGACTACTGACCAGCATTCTAACATTTTTTTATTTATCCCTTTTTAAAGACCACCTTCATTAAAATTTCGTTCAAGAATTCTTTAGGCTTACAGGGTATTTTCAGTGAAAATTGGCAACGTTAATGAAATTCACACTGCATAAGCATTGCATGTCCATCAATCCTATGAGGAATTCGGTGAGCTGGGAGGTTAGCGGAAATGTTATTCTCTTCTGCTCATTACAAATGTCATCACTTTCGGCATTTCGCCTGCACATACGTAATGCAAAACAGCTGCATTCATCCCCTCTCCCATTTCTACGGTCTCTGATTGTCCTTGTTCCTCGAGATTGATGGTGCTCCATCCATCACAACCCACCAGTTCGCCCTGACGTGAAGTTGCGTGGGACGGCGACTGCCTCCGTCGGCCGACCTTGAATTCCGCCTGTCCGCGTCACGGCGCCTCCGCGCGGGGGCCACCGTCAACGGCTTGATGCGCTTTCGTGGTCAACGCCGGTTGCACCGACCGTTATCCGCGCTTTATCAATCACCTTTATCCATCTCGGTGTTTTGCTGTTATAGGCCACGTAATTTATAGTCGTACTTGAATGAAAATACAAAAGGGTTGTTGGTCAAATTATAACAAATTGGCAAAAATTGATTTACCAGCCCTACGCCCCGTAGCATTAGAGTTTGACTGTATCTAAGTAGTATTAAAGTTTAAGATAGAATAATACAGAAAAGTTTTGTGTAGATTTTTATTGGATATTTTCCCTTATCTCAATTTCAGCTAGAGATAGCGTAGGACTATCCACTCCAGAGCCTTTCAAACAGAAATATATTTCAATGTCATATAAAAACGTATTAATGATTCTTTTCACATATTTTTAGATTTCCAAATGTGTGTGAAATTATAACCATAATTGTAGTAACTCCAAAATAGTTCAATTAAACTAATAAAAGTGTTTTTTTCTTTACAAGCATTGCTCTGAGTTAGTGGCTTTTGTTCTTATTGCATTTATTTTGAATGTAAATGTTTGATGTTGGTCTCGATATTAAAAACAGAGCGAATATCCCTCAGAAAAGAATATATCTAGTAAAAATTAATGGCACCAAATCTAACCTCCAACGTTTCACGTGGAGGATTATTTTATGCGCAGGTGCTCGGGATATTGGGGATGAGTAGACGGCGAACTGACGGAAATGAGCTGAAAAGTGGGCATCAGAAAAAAATCCAAATGACGACAAATAAAAATAGCTATGCATTTTAAAAATGATTTTATCGAGCTTAGTTTTGAACCACCATTTATTCGCGTTTTTTATAGGAAAATGTTCACTGTTTAGTGACCATTTTAGTATTTAGCTCATCTCAAAGAGTTTGAACTGCATGTAACTTCAATGAAACATTAAGCCTTACTTTAAAATGCTGCAACTTTTCTGTTTTTTGTATGTTGGAGAGCCCAGGATCGAACGCTTTGATCATTTATAGAGCAAGCTTAAATGTAGTCCCGGCAGCTTGCGAGTGACAATACCAGATATTTGAGAGAAGTTTAAAACATTATAAAATCCCATTTTCACTTACCAAATTCGGCAGCCTAAGAAAATTAGAATTGAGTACTGAAATAAATATTCACAAAATGTACGGACCACATAAAAAGTTATTCACAATCACTTTTTTTTCTCGAGGTCTTTTTTCAGCTTCAAAGGATGCCAATTTTCTACTATCCACGCCTGGTACCCACTACGTCCCTCATGGGGAAACATATTAACATTTTTTTTACATTACACACTGACACACTTTCGGGCTCCTCGGTCTGTGGTCAGCAGATTAATAAGGCTTCCGCGACAACACTCGTATATGAAAAACAAAGGACAAACAACCATGCCCACGGCGGAACTCGTTGTAGGGGGACTCGCGACCCTTACGCTGAGTCGGTACTCGCTCTAGGCACCTCGCCCAGCCACGTCGGCGTTCAGAATCACGGAAAATAGTTATGAAAATCCCTTGTAGGGAACCCCCTGAATGCTTCAGATGGCTCACACTCCCTATGAACACAAGTATTTAGGTTCAAATCTTTAAATAATTATTACGAAGCTGAAATTTGATCATGTGATTTATTCATTACCATTAATAATATTCTAAAACTTGACTACTACACGTGTTCAATTACTTGCATTTTTCCTGCGAGAAAAACAAATTTAATTTTCTAAAAAATATAATTAAAAAATACCCTTGTGCTAAAAATTAATTCCGGTTGATCTGTCTCCAAAACATGTTACAACTTTAATTAGCGTAATTTCCTACCCAAAAATTAATCTGTAATAAAAATAACAGAAATGCTCGCTGGATTTGAAATTTACTTCTTACTTTTGAAAAAAAATTAATATATCCCCAAATATCACATTTGTAATGTTTCTTAATAAAAGAGTTGAGGTTTGAAGAAAGGTATTGTCCTATTGCTAAATGACGTGTGTTGCGTGTAGAATACAACTTCTATTCATTTACTGATAAATATTACATGGCGTATAAACCACGAACACACACAAAATTAGCGGCACAGTGTACATTAGAAGAGGGAGTTATATAACTATTTATTATATCGCAATATGTCAGCATTTAAGGTAACATAATTATTACTGTTCGTTTGGTTTGCTATTTTATCCCGCCATCACTCTGCTATCCGTTGCACCATCAATTACTAGGTACCGCCTAATGATCATGTGTTTAGTCCGGCAATGTAATTGGTAATCGTTCGTCACCTGAAAAGTATAGCTGTAGGGGACAAGCCCAACCTGACATTACTCTTCTAATGTCTTCAAGGACTCGATAAAATGATTCCAAGGAGCATAATCTCTTTCAGTAACGTCTTTTTAATTGCGCGATATAACGGTTTCTACGCATTTAGTGGAGCTACAAATCGTTGCAAAAAATGAGACCAAACGTTAACGACTTTTAATTTCGTTCTTTGTTAATAAAGGTGACTCAAATGCCAACATATTGCATAAATGCAAAAATACATTGTTTGCGTTCAAGTACTAGTGTTGTAAGAATTACTGTTACATGCTTTAATGTCCCGTGCTAATTATAAATAATGGTAAATATTCTGAGTTTTATCGAATTTGATTATGTAACATTGATGGCTTCATTGTCCGGGTAATGATGAAGCCATAAACACCGTTGTTTACAACTCTTCACGGAAAGAAACTGTGAGATCTGAAGAATTAATTCGTGGCAAATAATGTAATACCGAACATTTTCAACTTTCTACGCATACAATAGAGATTTCACAAATTAATCATACCTTAATTTTAACTATGACTTGTTAATAACGTTTATGTACATTTAGATATAGAATCTATTAAGGCTTCAGTCGTAATTAGTCGGAAACATTTACGGTAGTTTTCAATGGTCATAGGCATAATTTGGAACAATGTAAATTGGAACGTACACAGACGATTAATATTCACGATATTTCTATGACGCGGTGTTTCCAATAACTTGTGTGAACAAAGCAACAGGACAAGGGGATCTGGGGCTATTTGAGAGGATATAACAGTGAGAGAAAATGGCTTTTTTCACGCCACTTGGAGCCATATTCTTGACGCACGTATACAGCAAAGCATAGATACGTTTGTACTACGTGACGACGTGATATCTATGTCTTAAGTGACTTCTCACCATTTACCAAGACAATTCACAGTTTAAAAAAGTTAAGGAAGCGTTTAAGAACATTTTCTCTTTCCTCTTCAAATACAAAAGTGAAATGGCTGTCGTCGTAACAATGATCCCAGGGCAAGATCTTATACTTACTCACGAGAAAAACCGAGCGGGATGCTACTGGGATGTGCCTTTTGGGAGAGACAGGCAAAATGTTCAGGAAAAGTTGACCGCGGATTGTAATCAGGATACGTCCGGCTGGACCGCCCCACGACCGTGTAGAATACAATTTCTATTCGTTGGCTGATGAACATTCCATTGCGTATAAACCACGAACACATAAAATTAGCGGCCCAATACACATTAGAGGAGGTTTATTTTATAACTATTTATCTACTATCTATCTTGACTAACTATTATATATAACCATATAACTAACTATCTTGAAAGACACCTCACTCGTAAACTAAGCGAGGCTTAAAGGAAATGCACATAAATAAATCAACATCCATAGCTCAATGCGTTCGTGCGCTACACTAGTACACATTTCTGTACAAAGGTTCGAGCAATTCATAATCTCACGCGCAAGCGCCTACAAACGCGCCTAGACGTAAATGCACATCTTGTGTAGCATCTATCCGTTGTATGCACTACGTTTCTACGTCATATTTATTATTATTATTATTATTATTATTATTATTATTATTGTTATTATTGTTATTATTGTTATTGGCGTATAGGCCATTACTGATCACGCTACACGATTAACGTGTGTAATTCTCTCTGGATCAGCTTTCCAGCTGTATTCCTATATTTATTATAAAAGCAGCTTTCGGTGGAATAACCATGATATCAGTTACCTGGTACAGAACATATACAATATAAAAATACATTTCAGTAATAAACTATTAAATATATAATTGAAAGTTTTAGTAAATACACAATTTTAAGTAAGAGAAATGATCTTACAATAACAAATGAAAGAAATATAATGGACCAATTGATAAATCATTTTAATGCTGTAAAGGCAGTAATTTAGTTAATCTAAGAGTAAGCAAGAATTAAATACAAAAACGAAAACATCTTATTTCTAAGATTTGAAAAAATTGAAAACTTTTCAGAATTAGAGTACGAGAAATTTTAGGATTTGTTCCATTGTTACTTTTTGAATGTCTGTGCTCTATCGGTCTTTAATATTTTTGTCTTCTTCTGTTTCTTCTTCACCTTTTTTTCTACTTTTCCCTATTTCTTCCTTCTTTGCTTCTATACCTTCATCATCTACGATGTCCGATAATCGCGTCGCCGTGGCAGTGATGAATGACTGAGAGTGGCGTGGTGTGTGTTGCAGACAAGCACCTGACGCGCAAGACGCCGCCGTCGTACGCGGACGGCGTGTACATGCTGGCGGGCCAGAACCGGCCCTCCCCGCGCAAGCTCAGCCAGCTCTTCATGAAGGGCCAGGACGGGCTGGGCTCCGCGCGCAACCGCACCGCGCTACTCGCCTTTTTCGGTGAGTACACACACACACACACACACGCACACACACACACGCACACGCACACGCACACGCACACACACACACACACACACGCACACACGCACACACACACGCGCGCACACACGCGTGCGCGCGCGCACGCACTCACACGCACGCACGCGCGCTACGCGCACGCGCGCACACGCACACACACGCACGCGCACACACGCGCGCGCACACGCGCGCGCACACACGCGCGCGCACGCGCGCACACACGCGCACACACACGCGCGCGCACACACACACGCGCGCGCGCGCACACACACTCACACAATTATCAGAATTATTCACATTTTGATATTATATTTGATTTGTGGCATCGCCACTGAATCTCAAATTATACATAACATAAATTAAGTTGCTTCCGTTCGTGTTTAAAAAAGAAACCGGCTAGTTAATCTTTAACAGTAATCTGTGCCTTAATTTAAAAGATCGAAAATAAAGTTAAAGGAAAATAAGTTAGAAGTAGTTGGTTGGTATGTTTCCTTTGCAGCTGCCAAATCATATCTTACAAAGCTAATGACTGATGGCTCTTCGATGAAATGAGTGTAAAAATTCTACTTGCAACTTCTCTTATTGTGTGCGATACAAGAATAACATCCGCATTTCTTTATAAATTAATTTCTTTAATGTTTCTGATCTGAATATCAAATATACTCGTATTACACGAGTGATTTATAATCGATTCTTAAGCACCAAATAAATGTTAAGAGAAATTGCAGCACCTTGCCGCTTACTGATCTAAACCTGTCAAATCCACTGTAAGCGGTGACAAGGACGTAGTCTGGTTTTTGGAGTGGAAGGGGACACCACGCTACCTCTCTGTGCGATAGCCAATCTCTGTAAGGCAAAGGCATTGTACTTTCCACCTCTCGATCGGCCGACAAGCCATCGGTCCTAAAGGTTGCCGGCGTGTGCTGTTTGTCAGACCACGAACTGATTTACATTGTATAGTTCGAGATATGTTTGGAGAAATTTTCTCAACAAGGCATGAACAAATCCCAAGCAAGCTTAAAGCTTTCTTCTTCTGAACTGAAAAAACTTAATATGAATTGAAATGGGAAAACATCAATAAAGTTTGAGAATATCTGGAACTAACAGTAATTACCTCTTTCGTGTTATGAAATTTGATGTTTTGAGCCGAGAGCTGCAGCCATACTAAATTAGTGCTACTATTTACCGTGTATCTCCTATAGTCAATATTACAGCTTAAAAGAAAATTAAGTACCATTCGATAATTCACGTATGTACAGGGGAAGATTAAGTAGTCATTCAGTTTCCGATGGTCCCACGTAGTAATAATATGCGGAAAGTTGCATATAGCATGTGATTTTCCACCAGGCATGTTGAAGTAATTCAAAAGTTTTAGTTAATTCACAATCACGAGTCTATTTTTTATAACTATATTTTTATTTTTACTCAAAAATATAAAATACGGAACCAAATTTTGATGTGATTGTTATTGTACTATTAATTATTACTTTCCCAATGCAGTTTACATTATAAGGGTGAGGCACTCACACAATTTACTCTTGGTTCAATCTATCAATTCTAATCCATGAGCATATTTTCTTTTTCGATTTGCAAAATAATTTGAACGAGATTTTTCTACTTCAATGGTGTAAGGATTTGAATCGTTTATATCAGAAACCTGTCAAACGCTAAATTCCTCATTTCGAGAAAACTGAGAAAAAGTCCTCCAATTTTTCAAATTTCAAAATATTTGCATATATTAAAGCAGTTGATAAATGAATATTTTTCATAAAAATATGCAATAAACGATACGTCTATCCTCGTGCAACAATAATCCGTGTTTCTAATAAGTGTAATCATTATTAAAGTGTAATCATAAGTGTAATAATCCTAATAAGTGTTTTAGATTTTGGCGTTAGACGAGATCTGAAATAAACGATTATATTGAGGTGTTCTCTGAGTAGAGGCGAAGGCTACAGTCTTGAGTCCCGCGTAAAGCATTGGAGTTTTCACCGTGAAATAGTGACTTGGCTGGATTCTCATACCATCACGTATCTCCCACGAACCATCATCTCATCTGTAATCAGGAAAATATCAGCATTATTCATTTATTCATTGACCATGAAGTGAGAAGCTACTACTGTGGTCATTTGTTCGGGAAAGAAAAGATTTGAAAACAAATCTCTGCAATCTAGCCTTCGATTATATCCAAGAATGAAGCCCATTACAAAGGTACCTAAAGCAAGGTTTACAGGACCTATCATGATTTCTCTGCCCGTCCTCCTGGTTGCAGCCGATGACGGATTGAAGAAGGCGGCATAACCCTCTCCCAATACCCTTTTCCAACAATTATTTTCTAAACTTTTATTTAGTTTATTCAAAACATTTACCACATTTTGATCGCGTGACACTCCAAGGCAGTATTCCCAGTTCGAATTTCTTTTTTAATTTCTAGTGAACACATTTCAATTTTTTATAATTTCGAAAATATTATGAGAAGTTATAAACTAAAAATCCCCTCCCCCGCTCCCCAAAATACTTTCTTATTTCACCCCAATTTTCGTAGTTTGGCTTAATTTCGATTGATTGATTAATTGATGCTTTTGGGCACGCCAATTGCTACGGTCATTAGTATCGTTAGTGTAGGCGTGTAGTGTAAGCCTGGAAGTGGCGGTGATTCTCCCCGGCTAGATGGTGAGATCCTGCGCCGACTTACACGCCGGCTTGCGGCGTGATTTCCCCTTTCAGGACCTTTCTCAGAATGTGTGATAGTGTCGTGCATGTGTGTGTGTGTGTGTGTGTGTGTGTGTAAGTAAGGAGAATGGATAATACAAGGTAAAGGAAGAAAAAATCGCCTGCAGTCAGCGACCCGTTTCTTAGGTATTGATTCGAGAAATCATAGAAAAGTATTTGTACCGATACGACCAGACTGTCCCTAGAATTCTCCTCCAGACTGAATTCGATCTAGCTATAAATCTGCCACTGCCGGGACTCGAGCCATAGTACCTCCCGGTCAGAATCTCTGCAGAGGCGGCGGCAACGTTGGCTTTGAGCTAAACCCAGCCAGTTTTAATTTCGCGCACGCACACTCATGTGTGTGTGTGTGTGTTTGTGCCTGTGTGTGTGTTTGTGCCTGTGTGTGTGTCTGTGCCTGTGTGTGTGTCTGTGCCTGTGTGTGTGTCTGTGCCTGTGTGTGTGTGCCTGTGTGTGTGTGTGTCTGTGCCTGTGTGTGTGTGTGTCTGTGCCTGTGTGTGTGTCTGTGCCTGTGTGTGTGTGTCTGTGCCTGTGTGTGTGTGTCTGTGCCTGCCTGTGTGTGTGTGTCTGTGCCTGTGTGTGTGTGTGTGCGTGCGTGCTAGTATGTGTGCGCGCGCGCGCGGTGCGTGCTCATGGAGAGACGATGGTGCTAGCGGCGGCGGCGGCGGCGGCGGCGGCGTGTGTTCGCAGGCCAAGTGGTGAGCTCGGAGGTGCTGATGGCGAGCGAGAGCGGCTGCCCCATCGAGGTGCACCGCATCGAGATCGAGAAGTGCGACGAGATGTACGACACCGAGTGCCGCGGCGACAAGTTCATCCCGTTCCACCGCGCCGGCTACGACCGCAAGACGGGCCAGAGCCCCAACAGCCCGCGAGAGCAGGTAAGAGCGGCTGCTTCCTACACTATTTCATGTTGTGCGTTGTCAGAGGGACTCGTCCAACAAGACAATACACTATTCTTTTACTGTATAGCTGTTTTCCAGATTTTATAAATAATAAGTTCGCTGCTGTTAGTATTAATAATAGTGTACCGCATTACTCTCTAGTTTTATTAGTGTTATTAAATTGGCATTAATATTCTTAATTGTACGAGGTGAGTAGAGAGAGTACCGACCCAACGCCTCGCCATGAAGGGTTTTGGGGCTTGGATTACAATATTTCCTCGCCCTAAATACATAGTATTTCTTATTCCTTGGACTCATAGTATTTTTGCATGTATGGGGTGACGAACATACCGGGTTTTCCTGATCCTTCCAGTTGATTTCCAGATCCAAGGAGTCTGCAAGGGTGTTTGTTTGTGTGTGTGTTTGTTCGTTTGTTTATTTGAGTGCGTGTTTGTGTTTGTTTGTTTGTTTGTTTGTTTGTTTGTGTGAGTGCGTGTGTGTTATGGGTAAGGGGTGCCCTCTCCCAAGTTTTTTGTACACATTCTGTGGGTTCAGCTTAAAGAACATATGAGAAGGAATTCATCAGCATAAAATATATTCCCGGCTACTTCCTTCTCTTTATCGAGATATTTTGATTAATTTTGTACGTAAATGAAGTGGCCAAAATGTAGACATATTAAGTATTTTAATGTTGTGAAATATGCAAACATGATTCCGCATTAAAGTTGTTAAGTTTTGTGTTTATATAAAATGGAAGCATAACAAACAAAAACAGGAATAATTTCTTGATAATTTGCATTTTGCAAACGTTATTTTAAGACATTTGTTTAACATATCTTGTTATTAACTCCTTTACATCAAAGAACGTTTTATCTTGATTCACTTAGTTTTATTCATTAACTCTCCTCTAAAGTATCTGACAATTTGTGAGGTGTTTCTCGGTTTCAGTTCGAACTTATTGGAACTTCTAGTAATTAACATATGATTAAATTGTGTTTAGTTGAAAATGAAATTTTTCAAATTCACCAATATTTGGTTAAAAAAAACTTCAACTTTTCCTTCATCCATGAACTGTCGACGCGAGTTTTATTTTTATTTTCTTCCTTTAAACCATGCACTCCAAACAGCTCAAAGTTCGTCGACAACTCGTACCTTTACGAGTACAACCGCACTTCTCACACTCTTCTGTCGATAATTGCTAGAGTGTAAGCTAGCAAGAGCTTGACTCAGCACTTGCATGACCACCTGCATATTTCCTGGAGGTAAATCGGGTCAGACGCCCTTCAGAGATGCGCGCTAAGCTCTTCCCTTTCACACCGCTTCGGAACAAATGGCTTTCTCCACCCCCTTTCAACACCAAGTTGCCCCCTACTTCATAAACCTGTCACTGCAAATAACCTGTGGGTCAGTGGTTCTCAAAAGAGGCGCCGCAGAAATGCGCAACGGTGCTGAAAAAAACAACAACATAAAATCCTAACACAAAGGAGAATTGCATAAAACAGGTTCATGTGTAAAATATTGTAATAGTTACTTATTTAGCTTGGTCTGCTATAAAATTACAAAACCGCCTTGGTACTGTAATAAAAGTGTTTAATCGATAGTTCATATAAAAGTTCCCAAGGAAACAAACTAAGCGTGGTTCAGCCTTTTGCATGGACGGTTCTCAATTATTCTCATAAGTTTTCTGAGTGTACAATATACGAAGCTAAATGTATGATATTTACATATTGAACTTGAAACGATATATTTAACGATTTATTATTAATGTTGGAATTTAGTAAATAAGGCTTTAAAAATAAAAGCCCTAGAATTGTTAGTGTCACTCTTGAAATGGTACCACCCGGGACACTCCCCCACCCACACGAGCACCACTTAGTGTCATGTAGGTGTTAACGGCTACTTTCCGTAAATCGGACCTAACGTCCACGAACTACGGGTCTACGAGCTGATGTGGAAAAAAGTTGGTACTACCATATGTTTCAGCGCGATGAAACAAGGATACACCTGGAGTTTGTAGACTCAGAGAAGAACACCGAAAGGGGCGAAAAATAGAAACACGATCAATTTGATTGTAATTTGCTATTCGTCCCATAAGACTAGGCTTCATCGTAGTCACATGTCTTGAACAAGTTTTCTTCATTTCGGTAAGCTCCAGCATTTATTTTATGAGAAGTTGTGCTTCTCCATAATTGAACTAGGGAACTCATTTTGAGGCCGCGATTCTCTTTCAGAATGCAATATATCGAAGAGAAAATTGGCGCTGCCCTCCCACACGGAAGTCTAGTTTTAACCGATAACTCGCTATTCAAACGTGAACGATTAGATAATGGTAATGAAGTGATACCGTTTTCATTACTGAGTGTAGAGGGGAGACGAAGGTTACGCCCATACGAGTATAACATTTTTTCAGGCCAGTGATGATACGCTTGCTTTCCATTGTTTATGGAGGTAGGGATGGTCATTTTGGGTGAATTATTATAAATGTGATGCTGGTTCAGTTGGATGTAAAGTCAACCCTCACCATCGTACTTTTAAAGAAATGGAATTTACAGCACTTTTGTCCCGCAGGTTTCAGTCGCTGCTCCAATCCACTGCACCACAGAGGCCGATGACCAATTGTAATCATTGCTAATGTTAATAATTCTTAAGTAATAACTAGCATTTATTTATAAAATATTGTATCTGGACTGTTAATTTTGCGATTGAAAACCCTGAACAATTTTGGGAAGAGGCCCATCGGAATTATTGCGGGTGCGAGCTCTCTAGAGCTCTTAGTTTCCCCACGGATCCCGCTCGTCAAAACGAGTTGTTCGTAGTTCGGCCGCTCCGGTCTGCCCCATCCCGCCCTATTCCGCCCTATTCCGCCCCATTCCGCCCCATTCCGCCCCATTCCGCCCCATTCCGCC